GCCTGTGTGATTTTGATTGCTATAATAAGTGTGTCAAAGTGATAACTAGAGCTTTATCTGACACTCTCCAGAAACTTTTGTACAAATACATTTTACACCAAATACAGCCCATGATCCTGTTGCTTATTTTCAGCTACTCCACTGATCTCTCTCTTATATTTTCCAGCGCTTCTTTTATTCATGTACTTCTGAGTTCTAAACCTTATCACTTCCAAACCTGTCAAAAATATGAAGGAATAGACCTGTACACATCTGCTACAAATTGTTTATTACATTTTCTTTTTCCTTTTTTCTGTCTACAATAGAAATTCTGAAAGTCCTCAGAATTTGAGTCCTCTGTTGCTGTCACTTCACAGTGCTATGCCATAATGATGCAGTAGAACTTTTAAAATGCTATTATTTTACCTCCATTTAAGCAATGTGCTGTTTAACAACACGACAAGCTTGACACCACATGAAAGACTTGCCAGCTTCTTTGGAACCTCATTAATATTTGTGTTTGTATAGGGAAAGTATTCTCACCAACATCACTTCAGATTGATTTTACTGGAATTCACTGCAACTGATCCTTTTTAAAGTACTGTCAGCCTCGATATTATTTTTTCTTCTGTTTTTTGATGAGAATCCTGTGTCCATACACCAAAATTCCTATAATGGAAAATGGAATCAGCCAACAAAAGCTGGTTACAGCAAACAAACAAACAAACAAAAAGTTTATGATGCGTCTTGAATGCTTGTGACATTTTTCTGAGACTTGCAGCTATAGTGATCAGTGGCCTTGCTCTGCTACTTCTGAAGTCAATGGGAGTTTGTATTATATCATCCGACTGAAAACAGAATCAGAGCCAGTGTGGAGGGCCTTTTATAACAGCTGTGTAGACTTACCCTTGACTAAATGGAATGGAGGTGAAGACCAAATGGTCTTAAAATTGTTTTAAAATTAACTCTCAGTTGTAAATTAATCTAGTATTTAATTATCATATAACTTTACAGGATAATGGTTAGTGTTATAAACAAATAGACTGAGCTGACAATGATCTTAAAAGTAGTCTATGTGTCCTGAATTCTCATAAGCCATAAATTGGTTTGGCTGTAGCAAAGATAAACTCAGTCTTCTATAAATATGTGGACTAAGCCTTTGTTTTGACCTCCTCACTTCCTAATTATGTAATCTTTGAGAAACAATAGAGAAAAAGAAAAAAAAGAATAAAGAAAGAAAAACTGTACATTTTTAATGAGTAAACAGAACTTAGGAAGCTCAATGACAGTGACTGCAGAAGTCATCCATTAGAGGCGGATAATCAAAACAAGATATCCCAGTTTCAGTGAAGCAGCTTTGAGTAATACTCTTTTTTGTCTCAAGTATAATTGAAAAAAAATGTCAATTAAATTTGTCCAGTGATATCTTTAATAGCACTCCTGCATGGGCTGCTGAGGCGCAACTCTTTTCTGTCTGCCTACAAGCAGCTCCTTCCTGAGAATACAAGAGCATTGCTCCTACTGAGAGCAATGATGATGATTTAAGTGTTCACATCACCCAGGGAACAGGAACTAAAGGCAGCAGTTGCTATAGCTATTCATGTAGAACCTATTTATTTCTCATTAAAAGTCAATTTGATGGACTATTCTCCAAAGCCATTTTAGATGTTTCTGAAAGAACTTTCTTAGAATATCGAGGAAGTCAATGGCTATGGGCTATTTGCACAAAGAACAGCACTCCTGCTTTCATACCTTCAGGTGGCACTGTACAGGCTCCTTCTAAATGCTCGTCCATGTACAGGGCCAAATAATGACTGTGCCATGCTCTTAGATTTCTGTATATCCTCAGCTGCACAAGAGGATGGTGTCCTGCTTTGTTACTCATCTTTTGTTGCCATGTAGTTGGGCTGTATCCATTATCTAAATAAATGTGCAAAGCTTTGTGTTGGAATAGATGCAAAGAAACCAAAAACTAATTGCACCACCCACAAACACTCTGGCTGTCCATTCATCTCAGTCTGAGGAGAAGTGGGTTCTGAGACCATGCTAGACCCATCTACTCAGCCTGAGGTATGAGGTTTGGGGAAAGCCTAAAAAGATGCAGATTCTTTCTCTGAGCTCTGGCAGTGCTCTACATGTTCTTGTAATATAAGTACTAGCCAAAGAGTATTAAAGTGGATGGATGGATGGATGGATGGATGGATGGATGGATGGATGGATGGATG